AGGAAGCATCAACAAAAATCCAACAATGGCAACAAACCACAGAGAAATCAGTGAATTATACAACATTTAAGCAAACAGAGAATGCCAACTCGCTTTCTCTCGTAGTTCGTTCGAGGATGCATAGAAATCTAGCGTCAGAATTAAGTTAAGGCGCTTCCGACATCTATGGAAAACACAATGCCAACAAGGACGAGGTGGAGCAAGCGCCCAAGTTGGCCAAAAACTTTCCAGCACACACACACACAAACACACACACTGGGAAAGGATTGAAGGATAGTGTGTAGTGGCTGGCTGAAAGAAACCATCGCAGCAGAAGTGAAATAAAGTTGAATGTAAGCAAACAAGTTGAACCAACAAACCAAGTCTCTAATTGTATTTGTGTGAGTGTGTGTGTGTGTGTGTATGGTAGGGTTTGTGGGCGTGGCAGTGTGTTTTATGCGGCAAACCGGAACGCACCACTTTGGTGGGAAACAAAATATGAGGAGAATTGCAGCAAGGAGAACAAGTCCGAATCCAACAAGACGTGAAATGCAACTTTTTCGGCACAACGCTCGGGCACAAAAGCCTGGCCTGCCCTCCATCCTTCGTCATCCGCACAAAGAAAAAAAAATGAAGAAGGAAAAATAGAGCCAACAAAAAGCCGGGCAAGTGCACAAAAGCCAAACAAGAATGGCAAAGGGGGCAGGAGGAGCGCACCATCGTCAAATCCCAACGAATTTCGCATATCCTAACCTCCGGGAGGACGACAGTCGCGTCGCGACTCAGTTTTGTGGCAGGTTGAGAGGTGCAACATACCGGGACAAGATCCGGCCAGCTCTCTCTCGGAGCAGAATCCTAGCCTAAGCCAGCTTTTGTCGCAACACTTGCCATATGTCCTTCTTCAAGAAGCAAAACAGAAGGAACCAAGCTTAGACCATATGCAAAAATACGCTGCCATAAAGATCAAGTCATTCGACTTGGGATTACCTATTAAAAATGTTAGATTATATTCGAATAAATAAATAGAAAATATGTATATGTATTCACAAAATTGTATAATGTTTTCGAATAAATAAATAAAATATAAAAGAACTTAAAAAATATCTTTAGAATATATTTTAATTATTAGTAATTATATTTAAATCTTTAAGGGTGGCCTTGTTATTTATTGTTTTGCAATATTTATAATATTTGTTTGTTTGGTTTTGAGGGTAGTCTAAGTGTTTTAATTGCTTATTCGTATTTAAAGTATATTAAAAGAAATGTTTATTATAATGTATAAATAATTTTTCCCCATATATAAAAAATAGCAAAGAAAAAAAATATTGCTTACCTGTGAGTCTGAAAGTTAATGTTATTATAATTATATAAATATAATATAAATATATATATAAATAATACATATTTAATTTAAATTGATTTTCATTGGAAATCCTTAAAAAAGATGAGCTAAAAGTCAAAATTTCCCGAATAAATATATAATTCTTATATCCCGACCAATATACCCTCCAAATCCTTGCAGTTCTAGGATACCCCAAGCCGGAAATATTGCAAACGAAAATGGCACAACAATCGAAGGGAAAAAGATGTACGGAAAAAAAGGAGGGGACAAGTGAGGCGGAGAATTGAGAGTAGAAAGACTACAGAAAGGAGCAACAACAGCAGCGCGACACGAGTACATTTGTTTATGCGAAGGCCCTGTAGGATCCAAAGAGAGGTCCTTCCCAGAAGACTCCTGACTCCGGCTCCTGGCTGCCTGGCAAGCGTTGAAATGGAACAAATGAACTAAGTCGAGAATTGCCAACTGCACACTTGAGTCGCACACACACAACACAAGGAGCAGAGCAGCAGGAGGAGGAGCAAGGCAAAACAACAAATGATTTCACAAGAAAAGTTAAACTTGTAAATTCAAATTTCACATTTGTCTGGAATTCGCAATTACACTTTGGCAACAACAATGAAATATCTACCGGTACTCGTTCGTACGTACACCTGCCGAAAATTCAAGGCGGGATTTCCCTTTCCTTCCCTTCCTTCCCGCTTTCCAGCTCCCTCTCTCTCTCTCTCTCGCACTCTCCTACTTCATGGCTCATTGTTCTCGGCCGCCGCCTGGCAAATGGAGCATGGAGTGGATTGGGGGGGAGGGAAGCGGAGTGGAGAACCGTAGAGCGAGGAGGGAGCAGGGGGAGCAGCAGATGGAGCTCGAGCCGAAATTGTTGCCTCCTAAAGCATATTGTAATAATCCAAATGAAATTAAATGTACCGTAAACATTTCGAATTACCGAAGAGGAGAGTGAAGAGAGAGGGGAGAGAGATACGGCGGCAACTTGAAGTTACATACTGGCAAATAGTTAAAAATGTTTAGGAATTAGACTATATAATGCCCTGCACTTTATTTAATACCAATTAATAGTTTTATAAACATTTCCAGATTCATTTATAAAGGAAGACCAAAGAGCACTTACCAATAAGAATTTTTTTCTTGTAATGGCGTCGGGGTGACAAGTGTGTATCCATCGCGGTTTTTTTTTGCAAGTTATATTCCATCAGTTTTTCATGGTTAATTAGCATATATAGCACTGAAATCAATCATTTAATACACTTATCACGTTATACGCACAACTTTTTCACATTACTACTTGGTTTTAAGGGTTTTTTAAGATTTAAAAGAGAAATTTGCAAATTTCTCAACGATCGAGCAGCCACTTTCACGAACTAGAGATCGCACTATATCGATTTTGCAAGCCATCGATAAGCAACTATCGTACGTTAGAGATGCTACACATTTCAAATAGTATAACAGATTTAAATGGTATACAAAACTGAATAAATAAATAAATCCCTCTATGCATGTGGCTTGTGTGTGTTGACACAGGATACCCTGTAAAAACTCAAAAATAGAAGCTACCTGAAGCAGCAGGTGCAAGCGCTGGCCCGAGCGGAGAGACAATAAAAATGCTCGTAATTGCAGATGCGAAGCATGGCCAGAATTTGGATTGGGAATAGAATGCCACTGGCTTGGGAATGAAGGGGGCTCTAGCGAATCCACATTAGTTGGTTTGGATGCTGAATGCTAATGGCTACATTTTTGGATGAACATTTTCGGGAATGCTGCTTGGAAAACTTTAGAAACTAAAACTAACAGACATTTTTGCTTGTTGTTAGCTGGATTTTAACCAGACAAAATGTAATTACAATTAAGATTTTTAAGAGCTTTATACTTATTGCCTAAACTGTAATAATTATCTCGTTCGTGTCTACGATATTTCCTAGTGTTGCATAGGGGCCACCTATCACGCAAAGGTAATAGCTATCGATAATTAGATAGTTTTAACTACAAAACGATCGATAAGACAAATTCAAAACGTAGTTCCTCCTCTTCGCTATAATAACGCGCGCCGCATTCCTTTAAAATAACTTCTACGCCCCATCTAGGCTAAATACCTGTCATCATTTCACCCATAACCATTACAAATTACCACCCACAGCCCACGTAAGTTGCTATAACAATATTTCAATCGATCCCCCAATCAATCTGGAGCCCCCAAGACGCAACGCTCCCGCTCTCAACTATTCAATTGGCTTGGGACCTGATGGCAAAGCACCATTAAATTAGCGAAATCGGGCAACAAAAAAGCGATCGAGTTAAGTAAAAGCCAGCCGACAAAATTGCACATTTTACAAGTTTACGAACCACTAAATAGAGCCACGCGAGGATCGCCAGCCGGGCTTTTTGGCGAATTTATTCCTAAAACAACTCTATCGCGATCACCAAAGCCGACGACGACTCAGTTCGCGGCCCCATAAAGCCAACGATTTATTGCCCAAGTCGGCAACAATTTGACAAGCAAATTGCTATAATTTCTGGACATTGCAATGCGGGGAAATCCCCGCTTCTCTCTCTCTCTCTCTGTTCCTTGCATTTCCAAAGAATGTTGTATGTGTGGACATGGGGCTACGTAGCGACGTAAGCAGGCGCTTTTTCGCGCTTTTATCTGCGCAAAATTTATGCGAACGATAAAGCCCCAACGACTACTGGGACTGAAGGAGGAACTTCTTCGGCCAAAGTTGGGAATTACGGGGCCCAAGGCATCTTCTAATTGCATGGCCATTCGGTTTGGATCGCAGTCGTCCGTTAAATTGCCATAATTTCGCTGGCTTTACGAGCTGCCAAAGAATTCTCCTCCACCCATCTTTAGCCTTCAGCGACCACACATGTCCGAATAGTTCGGCTTAAATTTAAATGCATTATAAAATACAAAAATCATAATCATCATTTCGAAATAATACAAAATGAGCTCAAAAGTTTGGTTATTATTTCGGAGTTATTAAATCGCAATTAAATGCGTGACGTGTGGTCCTCAAAGGTCATAAATCCCGAAGAGAAGAAACAATATTAAAAGGCAATCATCATTAAAAATCCAAGGAAGCATAAAATTGGCAGAACAAAAGAGAAAAAAAGAAGTCCTGCAAAATATAAATGATGATAAGGAAATGTTTTCCCTTTCTTTGCCTTTTTTCGAGTCGTAAAATCGCTGCCATAAAAATTAAAAGAAAATCACATTTTTTTGGGTTTATTTAAGCTTTTTTTTGTAAGTTAGCTTGCACTTTATGGTGAGTTTGAGGACTAATTGTTGCTCTGTGGCTGCTATGGGGAATTGGGGGAGGATGCGGCAGTATACGACAGGATTTGATGGCACTTAGAAAGCCGTTAATCCTAATTTTATGCACCTAGTCTGTGTGTTTGGACCTGGCCAACCCAATTTAATGGCTCACTTCCCCTGACTCATAATAATGTTGATTCCTCTGCAGATTCATAAATTTGCGTTAGGCAAAGAACAAAATAGAAAAAAAGTGAGTTAGCCATAGACTAAATACAAAGTCACTTTGGTAATTCCCTAAGCCACTAAAGTCCCATCAAATTAGTGAGTAAAGATCACCTGGATGACCATGAATTTTAAACTAAAACATAAAATAAAACCCATTTTAATAGGTTTGAAAAACAGGTCAAGTTTGCCAGGACTCCAGTGTAATTTACAACGTTTTTTATTATTCCAATATCAACTGCAATGTTTTTAAACTTTTTCACTTATCAAAGAAAGCTATTTTATTTTCGACTCCATTTTAATTTTTGAAAATAAACGCCTTTTTGGCTCTTAAGCTGCGACACGCTTACCAACACTGCAGCGATAGCGATCCGCGATAGAGATTCGCGATCGGATTTGCATATCGTTATCGACAAAGGACGCGCTTTTTTTTACTTTTCTGGTGAAAAAAGCAATTTGCAAGTTAAAATATAAAAATGCCGCAGGAAACGACGCCCCCCAAGGATCACTCCATCAGCATACGATCAGTGAGTCCTTCAGTAAGTTAAGTTAATTAATGACTATAATGAATCCCAAAGGTGACGATCAAGAATTGCTTGAGCTGCGATCATGTAGAGGTCAATTTCGCGCGTTCGGACAATGTCCATTTGATTGTTTATGATGCCGTCGAAGGTTTGTCCAAGGATGTGCCAGCTGTGACGCCAGTGGCCCAGGCTATTCTACTCCTATGCACACTCACCTATCCGGATCGCGACAGCTTGGACAACCTGCCGAGTCTTGTGTTGGGACAGGGAATGGTTTCCCTTACCTTCGAGAGGCTGTCATTGAACCCGGGTGGGGGAGCAAGGCAGGCACAGGAACCACCGGTAGAGGATGATCCAGAAAGTGATCTGGACATGGAACCCTCCACCTCACGGCAGGCCATGGAGCGTCAGAGGCAGCGACAGGAACGCAAGGCTAAGAAACAGGCTGCCGCAGAACGCACCCGCGGTGGCGGTGACGGCGGCGTCTCCTCCACTTCCAAAGACATCCAGGTGACCGTTACGCGACGCTTTGATGTCTTCACCTCCATGGATAGCGTCTTCGTTCAGATTAATGGCGGCGAGACCGATGAAATGACCATCAAGCGCTTCCACAAGGAGTTCTTTGTGCGTTCGCAGCATTCGTTTAGCTTTTTGAAGCTTCTACACGACAAGTGCGCCGGCAACTGGCTGCAGGTCATCCAGAGCGACAATGATGCCTACAGCGGCATTAAGTGGGTGCTATATAAGACATACTCTTTTTATGATTAATTATGCTTCCCTCTTTCAGCCAACCCGATAGCCCTTTTGAGACTTTCATTAAGCTCTTTGAACGCGAGACCATGGAGCCGCAGGATGTGCTCTGCCGCCTGGCCACCAAGTATCTGCAGGTGAACGAGACGGTGCGCCTCACCGAGCGCCGATTCGTGCTGAACGTATTCGACCAGGTTCGTCAGATCTTTGAGTACATTACGGTCCAGGAGTACTCCGTTTGGTTTTTGGTACCCAGCCGAAAGAGTTCCGATGAGCAGCCGGTGGTGAGTATTTATTAAAGAATATAATTTGCTTATATTTTGTAATACATTTTTTAATACAAGAACCTCGATGACTTCGATTTGACCAAAGTGCGTACTTGCATTCGTGCTGCTGGCGATAATGGCGATATATACTGGAACCAAACCAATCACAATATCAAGGATATACTCATGGTATCCTTCCAATTGGCCTTGGCCTCGCATGCCAATCAGTCGGTGTTGGTTATGAGTCACATGAATATGGTGAGTATTGGAATTTCTTTAAAAAATGTTGCCTTACGTTTAGTTTCTGGAGTGAAAGTATAATCTTTATTAACAGAATCGTAGATTAAAGTAACTAAATCGTGCCTAACACTTATATTACCCTCTACATTTAAAGTAATTGTATTATTTTCCCTTATATCTTAAGCTTTCTGAATTTGTTACAATGCAGTATGTGACTGCCAGCTTTATGAACGATATCTATGGCAAGAATCCCTCGAGTCCTGTAAGTCTTCGCAATTCCACTTAATATAAACCCTCAAATCCTAAAGTTGTTCAACCCTAGAAATGGTATTGTCATCGCTACCTGCAGCGCATCGTGGACATGGCCCTATTTATGGGCACAATTGTCATTATAGAGTATCCCAGTGCCTTTACCTTGTTGAAAGGAGGTCGCAAGTTGATCAAGTGCTTTCCGAAACAGAAAGAGGGTGTCGTTGGGGCCCTCGAATGGGAGATATTCGAAGGGGTGGTCAAGGACGATGAGTCCGATATACAAATGATCAAGCAGTCGCTCAAAATAAACTAACTAACTGACACATAAATCTATTAGGTAAGGCAATATTCAGGCCACGAACATGACACCCATCAGCTCTTTTTCTCTCCATAGCCTCGTTCCAAAAAAAAAAAAGCATTTTTCCTGCCGCAAATATTTCCCTGCTCATTTTCTAATTACGCGTGCCACAAGCTGAACTCTGCCTCTGGCTGGAAAACTCATTCTTCAGCTCCATTTCAATTAGGGTTTTGCCGGCTGTCAGTTTGAATGCCACTGGTGGAAGAGTCGAGGGTCCTTGCTAGCGAAGCTCCACTAAAACCAGCAACTACAATGGCTGTCAGACACGAGGCACGCGTCATTTGCCGGGGCGAAATGCATTTTGCAGAAAACCAAGACCATTTTTAGCTAAAATCAACCGGCGACGACCCGGAGAAGTGGAAGAGCGAGGCATCCTGATGGAACGCTGACTGACGGACTTGAATGATTGGCGGTTGTTTTTGGGGGGGCAAATCCTTGGGGCGCTGCTGGGGGAATATCAACCGAGATGCAGTTGTGAACAGAGCCTTACCTACCTTAAGTTTTTATTTTTTTCCTGAAATTCTGCATTTTTTTTATGAAATCTTAATAATGTCATTGTGAGTTTGATTCTTTATTTGAAATTATGAAATATGAATGTTTTCTTTCAACTTGTATGGAAAAGTATATGAAAAATGTAAACAAGAATTATGTAAAAGTGAATCTGTCCATGGGAAACTATGAAATTTGATTTCAATTAATAAATTAAGACATTCATTTAAGCTTATAGATTATTTATAGCACTAAAGTACTACGTAGTTAGAAAATATCAGAGGTTTATCATTCCAGTTGATAGAGAAATTAGTGAGCTCTTCAGCTTGAGGGCTCGTTGTTCGTTTTTGTTTTTTTCTGTAAGATGCAAATGCAATTTGCAAATTTATTGGCGAAACTGTGGCCCCAGGCAGCTGTTCGTCGTCTACACAGGTCATAAATAAGCAAAACGAAAAATGCATTAGACAGGTTTTTGGGGCCACGATATGCGATGCGTGCCACATTTCGCACCTCAGCCGCTCGAGGAGGAGATCGCATCGCGCTGCATGCCACGGCACTCAGCCAAATGACAGGCAGTCCATCCGTCCGTCCATCCGTCCGTCTATTTGTCTGTCTGTCTGCACCCCCTGCTAATAAAGCCCCCTCTAGCCCCGCTCTATACACACATACACTCTGCATTAATTGCGCAAGGAAATTAGTGTTGTATTTTCCAGCCAGTGTGAATTTTCTTGCGTTTCACAATTTTCTTGTTGTTTTTGTTGGTTGGTTTTTTAGGTTTTGGGTGTTTTCTGCTCTGGCAATTGGAAAGTGCACACCAAAATGGCAGAGAAATGGAAGGAATGGTTACTTCTCTAGGTTCATGAACAGCAAATTAGTTTCTGGTGAATATTATTTGATGGCTTTTGAGAGCACAGGATATTAGGAGAAATGCTAATTTAATGGCTATATGAATGTCATTAACAGAGAGAGACTGGAGAAGAGTACTTTATTCTCTTTGATTATCATTTAGTCAGCTTTTGATGTTTAAATTAATTAAAATTCCATTAATAAAATTATATTCTTAACAATTTATTTATAAATACTTAAGGGTAAATTAATTAATTGTGGTTCTTAAGATTTTAATTCATTCCTGATTCTATTTCATTGAATTCTCCTTTTCGCTCTTTCTCTGGCTTTCTCCTTCAAACTTTGCATGCAATGTACAAGCAACTTTGTATGAAGAAGGAGGTTTGTTTTTCGTATAGCCTTGAAAACTAAGCTGGCTTGAATCTGGAGATTTAACTAAATATTTATTTGTTTTGTATTATTTAACTAAAATATTTACAATAATCCTAAAAAATTCATTTTTAATCTATTTCTTTAAAGAAAAAACCTACTTAACACACACAGTACTATAGTTTTCATTATTAACCACATTTTTACATCCTTTTTGCTTAAATAAATAATTACGTAGCATTTCCCAAACTACTTTGCCTTCTTTTCCCTTAGAATAAAAAGGAAATAAATCGGAAAAAAGGTCAAACATTATTTTTTAGTAATTAAAAATTAATAAGTGGTCTGAACCCATGGTCCTGAGTACTCTTCCTTTCCAGTTTTCTTGAAATTTGTTGTGTTTTTTTGCGGCAATTTGTAATTATACGGGACTCGGGTCTCTCAAAAAGCTGCCACATGGCGGAAGCTGTGCTCCTTTTTGCAGCTCTCATTCTCGCTTCCTATTCTTATTTTTTATTTTATATATATATATTTTTTTTTTGTTGACACCGGCAACCTTTAACCCCTGACCGCCGGTGGCAGCTGCTAAAAGCGCCAACGAGTATTAAAAACTCGTTTCGACTAAATATTTAAACAGTTTATTATGCTGGAACCCTCATCGGGGCTGCACACACACACACACACACACACCCATATGGGCGTGGCAGGTGCCGCCCACGCGCCAACACTAGCCCGCATCCCCTCTCCGCCGCAACACCCCATTTCTGGCGGTGTAAAATGGCGCGTGCAATGCGCCAAAAGGAAATTTAAATTTGAATTAATTATGATGCCACGCCTGGATGCAGGTCCCTCTCTCTGTGTGTGTGTGTGTGTGTGTGTGTGTGTGTGTGTGTCCTGTGTGTGCCCCTTGTCCTCCCTCTCCCATCACATATTGCAATTTGTTGCTGCTTTTGTCGACGCGTCGCCATTGTGGTTCTGCGGGGCATTGTTGCATTTGTTGCATTTACCAACCAAATAACAAATAATAGCACTTACCCGCCCCTCGAGGGGTGTTATTTAATTTCTTTTTTTTTTTTGATTTAACAAAAATGCAAACAACATAAGCAGCTTGAAGGGAGGTCACAAAACTTTTCATCCGCGAAATGAAATGTTTTGGAAAATTTGGCCAACAAAACAAGAGCTTAAATTTTTTGGTTGGCATGTGGGGTTTTTAAATTAAATATCGGAGGAGTGCACCGAAATTAAGAGTAGAGCTAATCAAAATAATAGGGAGGAAATTTGGCAGACGAAAGCTAGACAATTGTGACTTTAAAGGAATTTAGATTTGAAGGAAAAAATAAACATTATTTTTAATTAAAATGGAGCTGAAAAAGCTTTTAAACTAAATAATAAGTTAATTTCTGACAGTTGTGTAGCGTTGACATTAATTTTTAAATTTATTTGGTATTAAATTCACATGATTAATATGGAAAAATTTTATATTGATTATGAAATTAATTAGAAAGCTTATTTTGACTTAAAAATAGTGAAAAATTTCACAAAAATGATTTAAAACAATACGTGGTAATTATAAAAATATTTCAAACTGTTTCCCTGATAGTGAAAGTCTATCTTTATATTATTCTTATTATCTTAAAGTGTTGGCTTACATTTCAAAAATACCCATTTGCAATTGGAACTTATTTTCACCCACATATTTTTATAATCACCACTCAATTTGTATATTATTTTCCTTTGGTAATTAATTCCACTTGAATTTCGAATACTATAAAAACAGAATTACCTATTTTTGGGGCGTAAATGCCACCACCGCCCACAAGGTCATTAACATTTAACGGAACCAAAAACCCACCGAACGGTGAGCGGAACAGGTGAAATCAACCAGTGAATTCATCAACCACCGAGGGTAGCAACAACACTCGCCCCCACAAGAGCAACAATCGATGATGTGGATGGCCAAAAGCTCAACAAACAAACAAAAAAAAAATACAAAACAATTTCAAAATGTGGTGCCAACGAGTGAAGCCTCACAACCAGGCTTTAATGCCACATTCGATGATTTTTCCGGGGGAGAAAATCACCAGAGAATATCTGTATTTCGGTAAGTGACCTTTTTTCATACCCTTAATAATTACTAGTTTATGATTTAGGGAAATTATCTTATTATTTATTAAAGCGTTTTAAAAATTATTATGAATTTTATGAAAATCCACATAGATATACATTTAAAACTTTGGATTTAGCTTGCATTATCGGTTATATATACTCACCATTGCTTAAATGTATTCTTGTACTTATTTATTTTTTTGAATTAAAAGAAAAACTCTCTTAAAGAGTATTCAAATTTTTAAATATCCCAAAACACTGCGGTAAAGGAGTAGTGATTTTGCATTTAGCGTTTAATTACGAAATAATCCAAAGTGAGCAGGGTGTCGGGAAAATCAATGGGGGGGAGGGTTGCGGCAGGCAGATATGTGGGTGGGGTGGATGGGTGGGTTAAGGGTTTTCCCTCTTAAAATTTAAGGCCCTTGGTGTGGGTGAGGTGGTGCCTGGTACTGTGGTGGCCCTTGTCAGCGCCAATGATCCAGCAGTGGACAGGCCGTTGACGTTGCTAACCCAATTAAACTGTCGCGCAGATAGCATCCTGGCAGGATCCAGTCCCAGCTGCATTCAGGCGCTTATCCACCTCCACCTCTCTCTTCACTTTGCCAACTGAATGAGTAGCAACTGTTTGGTCTGCCGTAAACTGGCACTTTGCCCGAAATAAACCGCAGAAGCAAAAGCAAAAGCCATCTCGATTAGTGGGTGCTTCAATAGCAATTTGGTTTAAACTCCTTTTTTAATCTCAACCGCAGTTCCATCTCACCGCAGTCGACGCCTTTGGAATAAAGCTAGGTTCAGCGACGAAAGCGCGTGATGATGGCAACCGATGCCATGGAATGGGATGAGCTTTAAATGAATTTATAATATTCAGGAATTGTATTTAATATATTATATATGTATATAATTTTCTTGATCAGCATCAAAAGACGTCCGTCTGTTTGTCCTTTCTACATAAACAAGTCTCTGAGTTTGGAAGCTATCTAAGCGAAACTCTATTTCTCTGGCTCTCTCTAACTCTCGCGCTCACTCTCTCTCTCTCTCTCTTGCTCTCTCTTAATCTCTATAATTTTCGGTATGTCCATCGCTCTGCCTCTGTGTATCTCTAGAGAAGTTCCTTGCTCTCTCGCTCTCACTTTCTCTGTTCTCTCTCCGCTTTGCTATAAATAGAGGCACTTGCGTCGCTCTGGCCTCAGTCTGTCCGCGGCCTCCCCGCTGTTTACATCTCTAGTGATAGTGGTAATAATAGTGATAGTGCCCTTCGATCCCAAAAGTATCCCCTGACCAAGGCCATACTTTTGGATAACTAGGAAAATGCTTAATTCGATGATACCATATATATATGTAGATGCTAAAGGAGGTCTAGAATCAGCTAACTAGCTATCCATTTATTTTCCGATATATTTATTCATAATTTCCAAGTATATATAATATTAAAAATCTTTATAAAAGTCCTCAGAAAACACTCTTAAATTTGGTACTGTTTAGAATCATATATATGGGCTGCTATTAGGTGTTGTTTACCTTTTCATACTTTGCTTTTGTTTTATTTTATATAATAAAAGTAATAACATATATATACATATATATACATTATACAAGCACATTTTCCTATTCTGTAATTTTAAAGCTTTAAAATGAAATCATGAAATCAGTTTAAAATCGTTTTTCCCTATACACATTAAATTCCCTCTGCTTTTCCTATTTTAAGCTTCGTTTTTACAGCTGCTGCTTCTGCTGTTGCTGCGGAAAATTGAATCGAATGTTTTGTTTTAGTTATCGCTGGCTGCTCTGCTAGCTTTATTTAAAAAAAAATCTCCCCCTTCGCCTCAGTTCAACCATTA